ATTAACAAACGGAGACGTAACAATAATATAGGTTCAATTGACTTTAGTTGATTTTTGCAGTGAAATAATTAATGTTAAGCAGGTATTTGGATGGAAGTATAGCCTTTTAAAGTGATACAGGAAGGCTAGTATCTAATGGCTATGGGATGGCTAGGTTATTAAAGTCTACTTTTTCTTAAATCTTTACTAATGAAGGTTTAAACAATATTCCTTGTCCTGAACAGTTGCTAGATGGAAATAAGATTGAACAAGGTGATCACATTATTTGTGAGCTTGGTATTCAAAAAAAACTAGGAAGTTTAAAAAATGATAAATCTCTCAGCCCAGATAATATTTTCCAAAGAGTTTTGAAGGAGGTTAATTATTGGATATATAGGTCATATTTAGTAGCATACGTATAGGTGGCACCTGAAATCTTAGCCATCAGAGAGATTAAAAACACAGATATGCCACTGGTCACATACTACTATTTTTTTAAGTCTCTGAACAGTAGGCATGCACCAGAAGATTAGAAGTTGGCTAATGTTACTCGTCTGATAAAAATGATAAAAATTGTCCTAGTAATTGTAGGCCTATTAGTCTTACATTAGTGATGGGGTGAGAAAAAGTTTTTGAAAGTCTCATGAAAAATGCTTTGCAAAGCCATTTAACAATGTTTCAAATTTCTTTGGGTAAGCATGGTTTTGCACAGGGAAAATCTTGCCTTAGTAACATTTTGATATTCTTTGAAGGGGTTACTGTTTATGTAGATGAAAGTACAGGTGTGGGTTTGGTGTATCTGGATTTTCAGAAAGTATTTGATGAGGCTCCACATGAAAGGCTTCTTTAAATAGTTATCTCTGTACATGGGGAGGATAGGTTGGATCAGTTTATAGAAAAAATTGCTCAATGGGAGAAAGCAAAAAGTTGTTATAAATGAAGTACCTCAGGGCTCAGTGTTAGGACCTTTGCTCTTTTTGACTTACATCACTGACACAGATGAAGGAATGGTCAATAAATTAATTGAATTTGTTAATGATATTAAAGAATGATGACATTAAAGTATAGACAGTGCTGTGTTTAGAATTTTTTGGGCCCTAGGCAAGCCCGTTTTTAGACCTCCCATGACTTCATTAAACGAGTAGCATGTCAGATCATTTATTAATAAAATCAAGAAATACATATAATTAACTTTTTATTTCTATAATAAACATAAAAATTTGTAGAAATATAATGCACATATCACAGTGATTAGATGAAATTAATAAAAAAAATCAGTTTACAAAATAATGATATAGATAAATATAATCTGATTCCAAAAAATCACAGCATGTGTAATTAGAAAATTTCAAAATAGAAATAAATTAAACTAACACTAATTTCTAAATATTTTTCTTTCTTGTCTTTTTTGCTGCATATTTATTGATGATTTCTTTGTAATTAATTTGATTTAAATCACTTAATTTTCTTTGTGAGAGATTGCTACATAGATAATTCTTGACTCTCTTGAGTGTAGAAAAATTTCATTCTGCAGTAGGATTGCTGGTTGATATTGTTAAGAATATTAGAAGTATTACTTCCACATTTGGGAATGTTGCTATTATATTAGATTAAAAATAATAATTTAACATTTAACATTGTAGCATTTTTGAATTTTTTGTTTTTGCTAAAATTAAAAACTAATAGAATTTGTCATCAAAATATTCAGTGTCTAAAACGTTATGGTATTTGGTATAGTAATTTTAATTCATTTGTTACTGATGAAATTTTCTCTCTACTAGTATTATTATTAATAACACAGATTAATGCACTAAATTTGTTATTGATGTCCATGTATTAATTCAACCTTTCTGAACTTCTTATATTAAACAGTCCAAACTGGGTAAAAAGAATTCCTGAGAAAGGCTCTTTTACCTGATTAAAGGGGCATCTCCTTCATCAGTATCATCAAAAAACATTTTTCTTCTCATGATTCAGTCTTTTTCTTCAATCTTTATATGAACATATTTCTGTCATTTGTAATGATTCTTTTTCAAAATCATCATATTTATTTTTTATACATTGAATATATTCAACAAGACCTTAATACAAATCTGTCATTACTTTTAAATAGTTGGCTGGATCCTTAAGGCTCTTCTTTGTTACTTTTACACGATTGAGAATTGTATGCCATAAGTTTGTCATAATGACAAATTTGAAGTTTCTCTTTTTTTTTAGTTCAAATTGCATGCTACTGACTTGGCTGACAGTTTCTGTGAACAGTCTTGACATAATAAAAAATCTTGATATAAAAGAAACCTCTAACATACATATATAGTCTTGATATAGTTTCTTAAGAGTTTGCACTATTTCATGGTAACCAATTCTGATAGCTTTTATGGCATCTGCCCTAGTACACCACAGAATGTCCCAAAATTTTTTTTATTGTTAGGTGATTACTGACCTTGGAATTAAAGTTCTTTTTTTTTTTTTTAATTAGGTTCACCAATGCGTTGAAGCAAATAAATATATGTAAATATTTTGTACAAAATCAAAATATTCTGCTGTAACCACACAACACTCTGCTGAAGAATTTCCAATTAAGTTCAATGAATGGTTTGAACATGGTAGATAGAGTGCATGGTGACTATGGCATTTAATTCTTGATCGTAAGCCTAGATACTTTCCCAACATATTAGCAGTATTATCGTATCTTTGTCTCCGGCATTCTAGTATATTAATTTGCATATCATTTAGTTTGTTTCATTCCGTTAATTCAAAATTATCTCCAGTGAAGAAAACATAGGAATAAAACAGAAAAAAGGTTTTCTGTAGCTTCACCATTGGGTTTCACATACCTAAGAATGATTATCAACTGATCAATGTGACTAATATCTGGAGTACCATTGGGTTTCACATACTTAAGAATGATCATCAACTGATCAATGTGACTAATATCTGGAGTGGAATCTATAATTAATGAATAATACTTTGCATTTTTTATTTCATTCATTAATTTTGTTTTGACAGTATCATTCAACTTGTGAATTCATCACATATTGTGGACAATAGGTAGTTGACAAAACTTGGTCCCATATTTGCATATTTATATAGTAGTGAAATAATTTCCATTGTTAGAATAACATAATGTTCCTCTAAATGCCAATGCATACTTTGATAAATATTTTATTGTTGCAACAACATGTTTCAGAGTTTCCTTCCAGTACCTAGTTTCAATTTCAAACTGTTTTTCTAATTCTTGTTATACACATATTCATTGATGACATATGACCTTTCATGGTCTGATAAATTCTTTTAACCAAAAGTCATAGTTAATTAGTTTTCACTAAATAATTTGCATAAATAACAATATATGCAATGGCAAATTGCACTAAAAACGAGCCAGTCTCTTTCAATTTTTTCTCCATTTAATTTCTGGCAATAAAATGCACTTTTACACAACATTCTATATAACATTATATTCCTTTCCTTAATAGTTAGTTTTGAAGATTCTAATGAATCATGCACAGATAAAAGGTTATTGTATTAAAAAGTACTTTTGAATTTCAGTTATTATAATATTTGCCCAGTAAGCTATATCTGTAGACCACAAATTTTCATTGTTGTTCATGCTTTGCTGTAAACTATTTTCTTTATTGTCATTTGTGTTTTCTGAAGCTAGACAAATGTTTATATTCGATGATGAGGAACCCACTTAGAGACTAATAATGCTTGGAAACGGTTTGAATGGGTAATGAAGAAAACTTTAATGTAAGTTTAATATAACAGAAATTGTAAAA